TTTTTTTTTTTTTTTCTTGTATTGTTTGTTTTCTGTTTTCTTGCTGGGTTTTCTCTCTCGCATTCTCCGTGGCTTTGCTTCTTTTTGACGGCTTTCGCTTTGTTTGAATTTGCCAGCGCTTTCCCTGATCGCTAGATGATCTTCAGGTAAGCACTTTGGGTGAGCTTATACGAAGGCAAACATAAATGCTTGTGATCCATATTCTTTTCGTGAAAGGCCGGCGGTGGATCTGGTATTGGATTTTTTGATTTCCTGTTTCCATTTCTGTTTCCATTTCTGATTCGGTTCCCTGATTTCATTTTCTGTTTCCACTTTCTGATCCCAGTTTCCTAGTCCATTACTGATTCCTGTTTCCAGTTTCTCAATCCATTCTGTTTCTTGTTTCCATTTTGTGTTTCCATTTTGTGTTTCCATTTTGTGTTTCCATTTTGTGTTTCCATTTTGTGTTTCCATTTGTTTCCATTTTGTGTTTCCATTTTCTGGTTCCATTTTCTGGTTCCATTTTCTGTTGCTATTTTCTGTTTCGACTTACTGTTTCCTTTTTCTGTTCTTATTTCCCCTTCCGGTCGCTTTCCTTTCTCCCCTCGTTTTGCTTTCTTCTGATTGCTCTTTCCACATCATTTCCACTTTCTCATTATTAAGTCGGTAGTCATATCTGGAACCTTCGCCATCATGCCTTTCCCGTCATTACTTCAATGACGCTCTTCAACATGACTCTCAACATCCGCCTTTTCTCATTGTCATGATTGCGTACTCTGTGCCAGGATTCGGAGGGTGTCTCATAAACCGCGTGGCTTTCGATCTGCAAGTTTCCATTCATTGGTACCAAATACCATTTCCTGAATTTCACTGCCATTGCAAAAGGGAATATATTAGACTAGCCGGCGCTATTGCCCATATTGGTCCTCGCCAATGTGCAGATAGCGTACATGTATAATAGGAGACCGTACAGATGGATGACCCATGCTTTCATAAATCCCGAAAGTCTGTATGTAGTAGTTTCCATATAAAAGCCCAGACTGCTGCTGTCCGGCTGTCGGGGCACTTGCATACCATCGCTTTTTATAGGATTATGTAAGACTTTATAAGGTATCGCCCAGGACAAACGAGTTCGTATACTGGGGCAATCTAGCGCATCCATTTTCATGTGGCAAACAGCAAGCTGTTGTCCATCATTTCAGCAAAAGCCCACTGCCGAAACACCGATGCATTGTCATCAATTTGCAAAGAAGAATAGCCCAACACCAACCAACATCGGAAGCATAATCCCCCAGTCCAAAACAGGCAATGATAAACACCACTGGTCCGCAACAGACACCACTGGCCCCAAATTATCGCAACTAGTCCCAAACAAACCCTAGAAATTAAAGGGTTGGTCCGATAGGTCAGCACGGAATTCTCCAAAGCCAACAAAGCCGAGACAGATGTGGCGGCAGGTAGCAGGTATTCTCATTTTTGAAGATTAGAATGTTCTAGTCGCCCGTTATAAAGTCCGCATAGCAAACAGAAGGATCCACGCAAATAAGCACGGCGGATTATTCACCTCTGACAACAGAAAAGGTCACCTCAAAAACACAGATCTGCGCAACACAATAAACTCTTGCCAACATGACAAGTAGGACCATGCCAACAACTTTGCATCAGCGCCTTTAGCAAAGTAGCCACCACCCCAAGAAACCATCTTCCAACCACTCAAAAATCGTAAGACAGCCAGATCAAAACGTTCTGACCGCAAGCGATGCCATGAACTTCGAGTGCTATTAGTGGCAAATTGTCTCTGACTCACATCCAAACGAGTTGTAATTGCAAACAAGAATATTTCATGTCGCATCAAAAGAAAGAGTGTCCTCAACGTTACAAGTCGTCATCTGAGACCCATACTTTGGATGTCAAGATTAGACAAACAGCGACCCAACCAGTTTCTGCTCACCATGGGAATCAAGATGTAAAAGACAAACGGAAACAAGACCAAACACAACAAGAGCGTTGCAAAAAAACAGCAAGACACCAGCAAAACTTACCAGCCTCCTGAATTTATTGCCATAGACAATATCTCTTCAATTTCAAAAAGGGGGTCTGGTCACCATCTCCGAAAAGACCATCCGAGAAAGATAGCATGATAGAAGTATGCGGCCAAAATTGTAAGCAAGAAGTCTCAAAAGAACGTAGTATATACTAACAATCCAGAGAACGGTGAATCAATGCTGGAATTGATGTCGTACGTAAAGTTCAACAAGAAAAAGGGGCAAAACGACATACCCGAAAAGGCACAAAACGATATACCTGATGACTTGAAATTAACCAGTTTTGTCGAGCATATTGTTATACCACTCGGATGTGGCAAAATTACTTAGCCTGGCCTCTTCGTTTCTCGACAAGACTTCATGATGGGGAATTCACATTATTAGTTACTGAGTATACCAGCTATCTTTGTTTTGCAGGGTATCCGTCTATACCGTTGTCGGATAAAACTAATTCGAAAGGCCGCAGGTCACTATTTTCCAATATAGTGTCTCATGACTAAGTGAAGACAGTGTATCAAGATAAAAACCCGCTGCCTAGTTAGGAAATGCGTTGTGAAAAGCTGGAGACTGGTTGCACGAATGTGTTATGCCAGATCCATGGGACTGGCGATATTTTCTATACCTTGCCGATAAAAACACACAGTCCGAATCATTTAAAGATCAGACAGCGAGCTTGGGCGTAGAGTCGCAGACAGAATCATTCGGCTATAAATAATTTCGAATGATCTGCAATAAGAAGAATGACCAAACTTCACTTCAGACCAGTCCTTTTTCTGCCTTAATAGTCTCTACAGTCGAGGTGGGACGTCAGAACTGTTTGATTTAACAAGGTCCTCAGGATTCTAAGAATAGAGAAGGTGGCGCTATTGTTAGCCCTAATCCTGTGGCCAAACCACACCCAAACTCAGATACATAACCTTGGAAACATGCAAAAACAAGATGACTCCTGGAAAACAGCTATACTTCTAGTGCCATCAAAAGCAAGAGGCTTTCGACTTTCCCACCCCGCCACGCCCAAAGCCGGGTTTTGCCGAGCATTAAAAAGCCTGCCGAGCGGCTGTTCGGCATTCAAGGAATACTCTTAGAGTTCCCTATTCTCAAACAGCCACTGCCAATGTTTTGGACACGGCGGTTTCAGGATCCACCAAAGACGTCTGCCATTATTTGAATGAGTCATATTAAGCCCAAGTCGCCTGCCAAATTCGATACATTCATACTCGAAGCTGCCCATGCATGCTGGCCATTATCATCGTTCTCCAAATTCTATGGCCACGTAAATCCGAGGATATCTCTAACAGTTCGCACCTCGCCATCCCGTACTCACGCTTGTCAACACTAGTACTGAAAGCTGAAGTCTGGCCGCCGCCGTCTTTTTTTGGTCTGCGCGGCCACTTCCCTGATTTTGCAAAGACACCCGGCAATAATCAGACGATACAGAAAGAACAGCGGGGCTAGACAATACACAAGATATGATGCCTAAAACCAGCGCACCACGACCCGCGGAAAAGCAAAAGCAAAAGTGGGTGCCTTGATTTTGCATAACCCGCTTCATCTCTGGAGTTTCTAGCCTGGCGCTCGAAATCAAAACCTGGAACTGCTCCCCCTGATTGCTCCCCCCATGTGAATGCGAACGAAGTCGAGAAAACAAAGCAAACATTGGATCGAAAACCACACACAAGTTTTGAGTTTGAACACACCATTTACCCGAGTTCAACGCTGGTCTTGCTCAATTTTGGTGATAACTTCTCTGAATCCTGAACTTCCACCATTTTCTGGCCCATAAAAACGTTTGTCAGTATGCGTCAGCAAAATCACCAATACGGAATTCCGAACATGTCATGAGCCGCCCCCAAAGTCCAGATTCCAGAGTAGAAAAAGCCACATGTGGTTTTAGCAAAACGTCTTTTTGGCGGGTATAAATCAACCAAATAGCCTTGCACAAACAGAAGGCTGGATTTCAGAAAATACAGAGAGCATAAAAAATAACTACTACTGGCTGGCAATAGGGCTCATGTGATCGGAACAAGGAGTAGCCATATACCAGAGATTCCTGACTTAAACCCGGAGGTCCGAATTAAGCTTTCCAATGGGGATGTGGGTAGGGATAATTTAACAATTTGAGCCCCCCCGAATAAAGTTTAGTGATACATTCAAGCATGCGTTCACATTATACTTCTGGGGCAGACATAGACGCCTCCGAGTTGGCTTTGGTCATACCTGTGGCAGTCAATCTGCTTTTGATTTTTTTGGAGCCCTTAGGTGTGGGGGTTTTTCCAGAGAGAAAAAAGCATGAACCCAGCTTACTAGCATAGGGGGGCATTTAAAAATTTTATGTTTTAATTGTATTACTGAAGCGGTACAGACAAATTCCTTGTATCCCTGAATGCACTCCGGGGTAAGGACCATGCAGCACATCGGACTACATGCAAACAATAATGCACGTTGCGCGACATTTTCCTCTGGGGACTCAAACGGACTGCACATACACCTATTGTTTCATTTCAAAAACTCAAACCCTTTACAACTGAGTGATTAATTCAGAGTCTAGGCTTGCAGGAAATTATAAGACAACTCTATTGGTTAAGAAGAAATGGATCGAGAATAAGGTTTGTGAGTTACCCCCCACTCGTTCTCGCAATTTTACGAGGGTTTCCCGCAAGCACAATGTGCAAGGCAGAACGGGGAAAGCGAGCGGGTACTTTGCCCACGACAGCGACGTTTAAATAAGAGGTGTATGTGTGGTTAAGATTGTTTTATTAGACGTGGTGCGAGCTTTTAGCTATATGTATGAAGTTTTGAGTTTTCTACCCAAAAACGGGGAGGTGGGGTTCACTTGAGGCCGTTGATTACACGGAAGACAAGCCCCTATATCGTCTCAGAGCGCCCAGGAATAACAATAGATTTGAAATAAGCCTCCTTCGTTCTTGAACACAGACCGTCAGTTTATTTTTAGGGAACTAATGAGTTTCTCTCATACCTTCAAGATTCTTCGAGCTGAATATAGCCATCAAGTTCCTGGAGTGAGTTCGAGTGTCCAAGGAGTTTAGGGAGTTCAGAGTGTTTAGAGGAGCGTGAGGAAAAAGATGACTTGCAAGAACAATACTAGTCATCATCCACCTCTACTTCTTCTGCGGGTTCCTTCGGCTCTTGAGACTCCGACCATTGAGTGACATCGTCTATGTAACTCAAGATTGTTGCCACAGATGTGCTGTCTTTTGAGCAGTCCAAAGGCAAAAACTGCACCATGCCAAAGTCATCGACAAGGCCGGCGATGGCTTTATTGAGCCGGGTATATTTCGGGTTCAACTGATTGTCGGGGTCATGTTCTAGCACCAAGGGGTCCGGATTCAAAAACCTCTTGAGCTGTTTCTTCGATACCTCCGACTTGATGAGATCGGCTTTCGAAAGGATATTTATGTGCGGTAACTCCAATAGAATCATGGCCGACATAGCACTCAACGCGCCACTGAAGAACTTGGAGCGATCAATGACAAATGGTGCTTCCAATAAATAAGTTGCGCAGAGACTGAAGTTGAGAGATGATTGGAGATGACGAACTATAGTGGGTAGGACCGGGACGTGTGTGTAAAGCTCGATTTGACCTGGGCAGTCGAAGATCAAGTATTCATCATTGTAGTCACCAATCTCCTCATCCAACCAGTCCAAGTTGTTCAAGAGGTATTCAAAGCAGTAGACAAGGGCCCCGTTTGGCCCAAGGTCCATTTCCTCCATCACATCCTCGACAGAGATCAAGTCCTTGATGTCCACGGTAAACTCGTACTCAGTTGCCTCCGCGGCAGGGTCCAAGTTGATAATGTGCGCGCGGCGTCCAATAGATTGCATGTGTGAAATAATCGAGTTGCAGAAGGTGGATTTGCCCGCTCCGGCGGGCCCGAGAACCAAGACTCCCACACGTGACATTGTTGATGAGGATGAGTAAGCTGGAGACCCAGGAGGATCGCGCGAGCATGTCTTTGATCGACGCGGCCTGATGAGGCGTGCGCGCACCATATCGCGCGAGACTACAAACGGCACCAGCAGGAATCGTAGTCGTTCTCCATCTGGATGAGGGCATCGATGCCGTGGTTCTTGAAAACGCCCTCGCATTGCAATTTCAAGTGCGCGGTGCTTTCGCCTCTGTAGACTTGTATGTGAATAAAGCCGCCCAATTTCTTGTCATTCACCCAGAACCGAGGCGTGGTGAAGGACTTTATTCCTTTTATGGTGGTGAGGTCATTCAAGGCGCCCCGAACAATGGCTTCTTTCTTACTGTCCAAACTGAGTAAGAGCGTGGACGCAGTGGACTTCATGAGCGGTATTGCGGTCATGAATATGAGCACGGCGATGATGATGGAGGCCACGGGGTCGAAGCCTTGCCAGTGGAAGATCTTGGTGAGGATCGTGGAGACCACCACGCCGACCGAGCCCAAGGTGTCTGCCAAGATATGTAGGAAAATGCCTCTCATGTTGTCGTTTATTTCGTCCGGATCGTCGCAGTCCTCTGCATGCGCGGTCTCGGGAGACACCGCGTGGTTCCCGGGGGAGGTGTCGAGAGCGATGGGCGAGTGGCTGTGTGAGTGGCTGTGTGAGTGGCCGTGCGAGTGGCCGTGCGAGTGGCCGCCATGCGAGTGGGAGTGGCCGTGGTTGAAGGCAAAGATCCCCACGATGTTGACCAATAGGCCCAACACGGACACGACGATCAACTCCGTGGTCTGCTGGAGCGCCACCGGGTGGAGCAAGCGGCCGAGGGCCTCGAAGACGATGCTGCCGCTAATGCCCACGAGGAGCGTGCCGTTGGCGAAGCCGGCCAAGTTCTCGAAGTTCTTGAGGCCGTAGGGGTACTTGCTGTTGGCGTTGACCGGGTTCTTCAGCCATATGCCCGCCACGAGCCCCAAGGCGAGCGAGGCGCAGTCGAGCGCCATGTGCAACGAGTCGGACAAGAGCCCGAGCGACTTGGACCGGAACGAGTACACGAGCTGCACGAACATGAACGCGGTGTTGAGCATGAGGAAGTTGAAGATGGCCCGCGTGTCGGAGTGGGCCAAGATCTCCGCCAACACGCGCGGCTTCTCCGAGGAGTCCCCGGCAGGACCAGCAGCAGCACCGGCGGCGGGCGCCACCCGCCACGCGCGGTCCACTCGGGTCAAGCAGGGAAGCCCCACGCACACGGCCGCGTCCGCCACCGCAAACGGGCGCGCGCGCACCACGAAGCATTCCAAGCAGTACGCGAAGCCCGCGAGCACGAGGATGCTGGCCTTGGCCGGCACGTGCGTGTGCAGCGCCAGCAACAAGAGGAGCGAGGACGCGGCCACGGAGATGGCCAAGAACGGCACGTCCACCATCCCGGCCACCACGAGCGCCGCGAGCAACGCGCCGGCCAGCACGCACACGGCGGCCACCGGCGGCGCCCGCGCCGCGGCCCCGCCCCGCGCCGCGGCGCTGCTCACGAGCCAGAACGAGCCCACGAGCGCCGCGTAGCCCGCCACCACGGGCACCGTGTGCGCCGCCAGCACCTGCGCCGCCGTGTGCACGTCGTACACCAACAGCAACGGCGTGGCCGCGTTCCAGCGGCTGGCGAAGAGACAGAAGTACAACACGGCCGCGCGGGCCGGGCGGAGCGCCAGCAGCGCAAGGTCAAGAGCATCAAGCCCGCGGCGTGGCGCACGCCGACACGCGACGCCGCCGGCGCCGCGAGCCGCCACCGCGCCAGCACCGCGCCCACGCACACCACGGCGCACGCCTGCAACAGCAGCATGGCCACGCGGGCCGCCAACGCGGGGCCGGGGGCCGCGCCGGGCTTCAACGCGAGGTCCGCGGCCACGGCCATGAGCGGCAACGACACCAACACGGGCAACGACGCGAGAAGCAGCCGCCCGCGTTTCAGGGGCGGCTGTGCGCTCCCGCCCGCGCGTGTTGGTGGCGGGCGGGGTGTGTGTGGTTCTGCTGGGGCAAGTTGGGTGGTTTTATGTGGGGCCGGCGCGGTTTTTAGCGGGCCTGGCGCGGTGTTTAAAGGGGCCGGCGCGGTTTTTAATGGGGCCGGCGCGGTTTTTAATGGGGCCGGCGCGGTTTTTAATGGGGCCGGCGCGGGTTTTTCTGGGACTGGCCCCGTGTTTTCTGGGTGTGGCCCCGTGTTTTCTGGGCCTGGCGCGGGGCCGTCTGGATTGGGCGCGGCGCCCACAAACGGGTTCTGGAGACTAGCCGCCGGCAGCATGGACGGGGGGTTTGGCGGCGGAGGGTGGCCCGGCGGGCCCGGCGGGTGTGGGGGGGCCATTTTGTGGTGCAAGCCGCGGCAATTGCGTCCAATTGAATGGGTTGGGGAAGATGGAGAGGTGGGGGAGGAAAGAGAAGAAAGAGAAGAAAGAGTAGAAAGGGAGAAAAGAGAGGGGGTATGTGGAGGACGCCAACCGAGCATGGAGCGCGTGGCGCGACGGGGTCGTGCGTCGGGGCCGGGTTTGGGCCTGGGGCCGCGTATTGATTCTGGGGCCGCGTATTGATTCTGGGGCCGGGTTTGGTTATGGGGCCGGCTGTGGTTATGGGGCCGGCTGTGGTTATGGGGCCGCGGCCTGGAAAAGGAGGGGAAAAGTGCCGGGACATGACTGCTGTGTTTTTTTTTCTTTTTCTTTTTTTACGATTCTGATGGTGGCCGGCGTTTGCCGACCGCCGGGGTCGCCGGGCCGGATGTTTGTTTTTCGTTGTGTTTTCCTTTCTTCTGCTTCTATTGGTTCTTTGGGCGCCCAGACGGGGGGTCTTGTTGCAGACCGGGCCGCGCCTTTATTAGCCTTTATTAGGCCGCCAGAAGGACACCGGAGAGGTTCTAAAGAGGCACTAAAAATGCACCAGAAAGAATCCAGAAAGGAACTAGAAAAAACCAGAAGAGGCTTTAGAAATGCACTAGAAAGGTACCAGATATGCACTAGAAAGGCACTAGAAAACCACTAGAAAGGCACTAGAGAGGTACTAGATAGGCACTAGAAAAGCACTAGAAAGGCACTAAAAAGGTACTAGAGAGGCATTATGTAGGCACTAGGTAGGCACTAGAATGGAACTAGAATGGTGCCAGAAAGACGTCAGAAAGACAGTAAAAAGACAGTAGAAAGACAGTGGAAAGACAGTGGAAAGACAGTGGAAAGACAGTGGGAAGACAGTAGAAAGACAGTAGAAAGACAGTAGAAAGACAGTAGAAAGACAGTAGAAAGACAGTAGAAAGAAGTCAGAAAGAAGTCAGAAAGACAGTAGGAAGGTACCAGGAAGACTTCAGAAAATATCAAATGACTCTAGAAGGAGTTTTAGAATCACACCCAATCCTTTCTCATCTTCGTAAGAATACCTGCGAAACCAAAGCATATAAATTAGCGAAAGAAAAGAAGCCAGCAGGTATTGCCTCAGTAACGGTGAGTGAAGCGGCAAAAGCTCAAATTTGAAATCCTCAGGGAATTGGAACTTGAAGGTGGCCTCAGATAGTTCAAACATTCTTAAGTCCATTGGATAATGAGACCATGGAGGGTGATAGCCCCGTAAAGAATCTTTTTGCTCTATTTTCTTTGAACACCAAAGAGTCGAGTTGAAAGGTACCAGAAAAATCCCACAAATGAGCCAGAAACGGGCCAGAAAGACCCAAAAAAGGCTTTAACATCTAACAAAAAAGATCACAGAAAGATGCCAGAAATACGCCAAAAAACACTAGACAGAGGCCTGAAAAGGTTCTTAAAAGTCTTTCTAAGGCCCCCAGAAACATCCCAGAAGGACCCCAGAGAAGCACCATGGAAAACCCGTCACCCCTGCAACCGGCTGCACTCTTCATCGATGCGAGAACCAAGGGTCAGTTGCAGTTGTTTCTGTATATCGTTTGCGGATTTGAGACCATTTCTGCTTTCTTGAGAAAACTTAAATGTCTTCATTTCATGTCGTCTAGCATATCACTGGCTCATCATAAAGTATAATGGGCCGTGACCTTAAAAGTGCTGCTATGATCCGGCGCTAATCCTTTTCGATGCGAGCGATAATAGGCTTCTGCTTTTCCGGCAGTCGAATTGTAGAATGTGCAGACAAAATGCCAAGATGCCGCCACTATAGATACAAAGCATGGTCGGCTTGCTGGTACGTGTTCTGGAACTGGAGGCTGTGGCATGTTCGTGCTAGTGAGAATTCCCACGGGGACCAATTCTGGCAGTGGGGCCAAGAAGGCGAGGCAACGGTTCAAGTGAATTCGGTATTTACGGGGCTCCTCAGTGTAGCAGATTTAGTCCAACACAGTTGGCATCCTCTAGAGGCCCGGATGGCCTGGGTGTTTGGTCGGGCATCCCCACGGAAAGTGTTCAGAGACCATAGAAAATATCTGAACGGGTAACCTGGTGCCCCATATCTGAGGTGCATGTGGAATATAACCTTGGGCCTTGATAAGAAGTCCAGCAAAAGGCAGAGGCTCAATCAAAATGAAGAACTGGAGCGTGTCCAACATATATGGGGATTTAGATGCGCTAATATGGCCATATATACGACTCAACACGCGGGGAAACGAACGGATGAGGGGACGAAAGATTTGTATCAAATTGGAGCCGGCTGAGTGTTTATTTTGGTAGAGTTTCAGGCGAAACAAAACTATTTTGCATCATCATTCTCTTTATGTAAAGATATGATGGCACCATCCCTCTCAGTTTCAATCATCTGTTTGTTGTCCTCACCTACCAAGTTTACACAGGTTGCAGCCAAGGCAATAGGGATCTTTTCTAGCTACGAGATGCTGTCCCAGAATTCAAAGCAAGGGAAGCTTCTGTGATGCCCGGGAACGTATTTTCGATATGAGCGGACACAGTCTATATTGTGAGTCTCGCTAATTTAAACGTCAAGATTGGGAAGCCACATTCAACGGTCGCTTGGAACCCGGAGCTAGCCTCTCGAGCGCTGAGAAAACACCTGATGATGTTTTCATCTTCCTGATCTTGGGATCCTCAACCAGGTCATATCAATCCCATAAACCAGTCGGACATGAATTTTGGGTTCCTGCTTCCGGAAGCAGGGATATTTTAAGGAGTCATGATAGGCATCCCATACCAAACCACCGAATATTGTAGATCAACCATTCACTTGTCAAGACATACGTACTAAACTTACGGAATCTGTCAAATGACATCACCTGTTTGTTGGAGCGCAGGCTGAAACGCTTACAAACATGGAGTGAATTAATAATAACCTGTGAGATAATACTACTATTTCGTGATATAGGTTTTCAGCATTTCGCAATCAAAGAGTCTCGTCCGCTTTCAACTTAAGTGGTGTTTCAAGAATTCGATATAGTGGCGTTTCAGGATTTGAGAGAGACACTAGTATTCACTGCTGGAAAACAGATTTGGTAGCGTTTCTGGAACCAATAATTAAGAGCACTACTATTATTCGCTGAGAAAAGCCGGTAGTTACCAAGACTCCAAATGATACATTCTTGCGGTGGACATCTCATAAGCCACCCAAATCTGAAGTGTTTGAGCTGGTTTATTTCAACTCGTTTACAGTCCGCTTTGGATAGAAACTGGCTCGAATAAAAATCCAATTAATGGTCTAGTAAGACTGATGTTCGATGAAAGAACCTATAACAAAAACCATAAAACCCCGATCTCAAAAGCTCAGTGGTGCCTCTGCAAACCAAATCTCAGTGGTTTCTGGGAATCACAATTGTACCCCGGTGTATTATAGTGGCCCATAATAAAGAGCGTAAAAACGGGCCACCTGGACAGCCATGTATTCGAAAACAATGACAATTGCAGATGACCAAATGGACCATAACTGCCAATCTCACGATCGCAATTAATGTTTGATTTGAAAGTGGAGAATTAGAGAACATGTCCGTCCAGAGTCTGAAATGGGATCTTGCGTAGAGTGCTCACAGGTGGAGCAGGTGATCCCACAAGCCAATACATGATTTCCTCATAATGCCATTGGGGTCGCAGAGTGTTGAAATGTATATTGCACTTCCGGCCGAATTATGATACTAAACGACCTGCTGGACCAATGATACTGAATTTCTGGCTGAACCAGTGATACCAAACCTCCGGCTAAAATGATGCTCGACATCAAAAAACTGCACCTCAGACTCAATCATTATTATGCTACTGGACATAATACTGAACTTCCCACTCAATCAATAATGCTGAACTTCCAACTCAACCAGTAATACTGAACTTCCTGCCGGACCAATAGTAATGCAATTACGGCTGGATCATGCTACCAAACATCTGGCTACATCAATTTTTACCTGTTTTTCGGAAACATAAGGTGTTTCTTCATGATCTATGTTCACTCGCTCCAAAAGGCTATACTACTCTGACGGCATGTGCACAAATCATTCTTTCTCAAATGGTAAAAGCCTCATCGTCTCAAATAGTAAAAGCCTCATGGAATGGCCGTTTTTGAGATTCTGATGCATACGTAAAAGCTGACATTTATTTCAGTCAATAAGTGGCACACTGTTCTAAGAAAGGATGTGATTTTTGCTTGCCGTGGCTGTTTTCCATCTCCCAATCAGATGCGGCTCGGCACTTCTGACCCCTACCGGCCTCAAGGAATTTTCTACATGAGTCAAACTTTTCACCTTGGGTAGACAACACTCTGAGTGATT